CTCAATAACCACTGATCAATAGCTAAAGCATATGATGCTGTTGGGTATTGGTAGATGTAAGGCTCTATGGCTGCATAGCAGTGCAAAGACCTTAATGAATATATGACATAGAGTCTTCTTTGCATAAGTATCTTATGCCAATAGGCATTAATAGATGTAAGACTCCACGGCTATGTAGCAATGCAAGGACCATAATTGCAGCTCAATGACTGTATGAATTAGAGTTTGCTTAGTATGATCATGGTTCAGTGACTGAAAGTAGCTTAATAACCACTGATTAATAGTTTAAACATGCGATAGACATTGGTAGATATAAGGCTTTACAGCTGCATAGCAGTGCAAGGACCTTAATGAATATAGAATATAGAGTCTGCTTTGTGTAAGTATCTTATGCTGGTAAGCATTAATAGATGTAAAGCTCCACGACTACATAGTAGTGCAAGAACCTTAATTGCTACTCAATAATTTCATAAATTAGAGACTGCTTAGCTCAGTGACTGAAAGCAGCTTAATAATCACCCGATCAATAGCTTAAGCATATGATGCCGATGGGTATTGATATATGTATTGGTATATATAAAGCTTTATGGCTTCATAGCAATGCAAAAACCTTAATGAATATATACATAAAGTTGCTTAGTATGATCGTGCAATGATCACTGATTAAGGTCTTAATTTAGAGATGGGTTTTTTCTAGATACAATGATATTTTAGCTGGTACAGAATTTGTCTGAGTTTTTTCATCTCGCCCCACCCAAGTTCTTAAAATCATTTAGTTATGTGGCCTGTTAAGATGATGGTCACAAGCAATAATTTGTTTGTATATAAGCAAACAAAAAGAAGCAAGCATATTGTAATGATCCTCTTCGAAGTACTATGTTGTGGCGATCTTAATTCCCATTTGTTTTTTCTTTGTAATAAAAATTTGATCGAGCAATGATTTTTGCATTTAAGCTAAAAATAAAATTTGATCCGATTATTTTATTTGAAAGCATTTTGGAACTAGACCTAATACCTGAATTACTATTTGATTATTATACCAAAATCAATAAAACTTATATAATTATCACGTCAAACTGGGGTATTCAGTCACCCATGTTTGACAAAACTATATGCGGTACTGTACTGTATAAAAATTAATTAAGAGTATTAAGAGTTTTTTTTTGAATTTAGTGATTAGGATATTGATAAGGATTATTTATCACTTTTTGTATATGCGTATTATATTTTATGTGGTACAGTAGTGATTACTTCAAAAAAATAGTACCCGTAATTTGATGTGACTTTATAGGGGTTAATTTTATATCTGTATTATATAAGCTGTTAATAAAAAATTGTGATAGTGACTATAAAGTGATTGTGCTTATATAAAGATATAAATAATATTAAAAATAGTTGGTAAAAATATATGTGTGATTATATTGAATTTGTGACTATAGAGGAGGTGACTATAGAGGGTTTAATTGTATTTCCTTTTCTTGCTATAATTTTTATCTAATCTTGTAATCTAATTGGCAATTGATATTGATCAGTGAAAATCTGTCAGTGCTACTTCAAAGTTATATTTTAAAAATTGTCTAAATAATTAAGACCAGATATATAAGCAAAATATTTAGCATCTCCAAAAACCTTATCCTAATTTTATTTTTATATACATAGCTTTAATTTTTAGTATATAGTTTCTAATTTTATTCTAATTTTTAATCTTAATAAAAAATTATATATATGATGTTCAATACTACTGATGCATGTATACTTATTTTTGCAAGTGATACAAATTCAAAAAAAAAATTTTTATATGTAGACCACAAGATCAGATAAAATCTTTGTGTAATATAAAATTGAAAGCTTTTTAAAACATCGCTAATAACTCTTTAAAATTTTGCCTAAAAAAGCACCTTTTATATTTTAATAAAAAAAATTCTTGGCCAAATTTTACTTTATAATATTCTTTATACTAACATTAACCTTAACCTTAATGCTAATTTTCTATTAGACATGATTTGTATCACTTGCAGAAATAAGTAAATCCTACTAACGTGATTTATAATATGTAATATAGTAATAATTGTGACAAATTAAAATAGACAAGCTATCAACAAATACAGTCAAACCTGTCTAAATGAATATAGTTGGTAGACCAATTTTGTATTTATTTAAACAGGATATTTATTTACAAAAAAATTAAATTATATAAAAATATTAATAAAATTAGTATATTTTATAATTTAATTAATCAAAATATAAAATTTTGTATAACAATTATGCAGATAAAATTTAAAATATTCAGATAGCATAAATTTTTACTAATAAAACTGAAAATTTTTTATGCATTATTTAGTTAAACAGTTTATATAATTAGCCTAAGTAACCAATTTGGTTCTGAAATTTTGTATTCATTTATATAAGATATTCATTTATACAGTATTTATTTAGACAGATTCAACTATACAAATTTTTTTGGATATATTTTTTTAGAGTTAGGATTAGAGTTTAGAAAGCAGGTTTTATAATAAACAAGTATAAATAGGTTTTAGAAAGTCAAATAGAAACCCTCATTTCATTTTAATCTGATTTCATTGTGAAATTATAATCTGTACTTGGTTTATGATCACATGATGATGATCATATGAAATTCAATAAACTTACATATGCTTGACCAATCAAAATTGATTATATATCTAATATATATAAACAATTTTGAAGTTTTCATTAATTGATAAGACAGGTTTTTCTAATTTTAGGTGAAGTTTTCTTGATAACCATCTAACAAAATTCGATCAAAACTTTTTTATATATTTGTAAAAAAACTTTTCATTGGATCTTGTTAAAGAAAATTTTACACAATCTTAAAAAATTTAACAATTACTTTGATAGTTAAATTGGAACTTTATTTAAACTTTAAGCAAAGCTTTCTTGACAACCACCTAGCCAAATTTGGCAAAATATTTTATGTTAACTTGATAGATAATTATCAAAAAACTTCACTCAATATTTGTTTTATCTATTGATAAAAAATTTTTAAATCTTTGATCAAAATGACTACCTAACCAAATTAAATAAATTTTTTTTTATTTCAATTCTTCAAATATGTATAATTGAAAAATAAAAAATTTTATTGAATTTGGTCAGGTAGTTATAAAGAAAACTCTATCAATAAACATTTTTTTAAAACTTTAAGCAAAGTTTTTTGACAACTACTATTCAAATGAAATTTTTTTATTTCGATTCTACAAATATGTAGGATTGAAATAATAAAATTTTTTCGTATTAAGTTAGGTGATTACTAAGAAAACTGAGAAAACTTAAAGTTAGAAAAACTATCCCGTTTGTTAACGAAAAACTTTGAATTTGTTTACATGTATGTAATCAATTTTGATTGGTCGAGCATATGTAAGTTCATTGAATTTCGTATGATCATTGTCACGTGACCATAAACCGAGCACAGATTATAATTTCGCGATTTCATTTATGATCTGCGACATTTTTTACCTGCTGGTTCGCACTGTGTAACATTTTTGTATATTATCCAATAAAATTAAAAACTCTTTGCTATCGCGAGAAATTTTTTATAATTATGGCATTAGCGTTAGTAGGTCTTGAATCCCGTGCTAGCATTTGAACAAAATCGATACACAATACATAGGGATTTGAATGTTAATTTTGTTATTACGTACTGTACCTACTAGTCTATTTACTTAGTGCTATATCTAACCGTGAAACTGTAATACGTATAAATACGTAGACATAAACTGCATTCGACATTTTTTACTAATAATCCTGTTAAAATGGGTACCAAGAATAGTAAAATAACTTCACAAGATCGTGCTATTCTCGACTTAAAGATTCAGCGTGATAAACTGATACAATATCAAAAAAAAGTAACTTTAAGTTTCATAGAGTAAACGATATTCACCTTGTCTTCTATCTAATTAAATATTGGCCTTCCAATTTATTTTGAAGCTTCTAAACATTTCTGAAAGAGAAACTGAAATAGCAAAAAAAGCCCTACGCAATGGGAACAAACGTGGAGCCCTTTTAGCTTTAAAAAAGAAAAAATATCAGGAACAATTGTTAAAAAAAACCGATGCACAGCTATTGAATCTTGAAGAATTGGTTGGTATTCTTCAGTCGCAAACTTTTCCGAAAGATAAGCCCAAAATCAGACATTTATTAAACTTTTTTTTTCGGACTAATCTGTTTCGCAATCGCACAAAAAAGACTCAATCAATAGAATTCGCGTTGGTTGAAAAGGATATATTAAGCGGTCTGGAATTAGGGAACAACATTTTGAAGGAAATTCATAAAGAGATGTCAATTGAAAGAGTGGAAAAGTTGATGGAAGATACCGCAGACGCTATTTCTTATCAAAATGTGATTATTTCATTCTATTAATTCTATTACTGCATTAGATATCCTAAATAAATTTTATTTGTTAATTCGTATAGGAAATTGAAGAATTGCTAAGTGGAAAGATAACAAGTGAAGACGAAGATGAAATATTAGAGGAATTGAGAAAGATCGAAGAGGAACAAGTATGATACTTTTAATTATATTCATAATTAATATGAATGAGAGATTAATATATACATTACTTTTCAGCTTGAACAAGAATTTCCCAAAATTCCTACGACTCAACTTAAGATTGCAGACGTAGAAAGTAAATTATTTCTTTAATTGGATTAATACAATATTATTTACAATAACTAATTATTATCATTTTCTAGATGAATCGACACCGCAACAAGAAGTTAAATCAAAAGTTGTGCAGAAAGAGACTAAAAAATCAAACGCTATTTTAGAAGTCGCTTGATATTTTTTTCATATAAACTTGTAACACAAAACTTCATTGATTACATTTATTTACAATCTTATTTAGTTTGCAATATTATTATTTTGTATATTTGTAGAAAAATATTTTATGTAATAATAATGGGCTTGTATATTGTTACAAATAGAAATTATCTAATTTTAACATTAAAAAAAAGAAAAAAAATTATTTATTTCCTTTTCAGCGCCTCAAACCTTCTTTCCAATTCATCAAGATCTGGCAAGCCGTCTGTAGACTTAGCTGTAGATTTAGTTGTAAATTTAGTTGTAGATTTTGGTATGGGGTTTTCTGTAGTTGTTTTGACGTTGTTATTACTAGCCGAATATGGTGGTGGGGGTGTAACATAATTATTTTGAGAAAGGTCTAACGGTGATGGTGGCCTACCAAGCTTGTCATTCTTTTTGCTGTCAGGTCGTTGAGGGGTGGGAATGTCCAGAACAAGACAATCGGAATCGGACGAAGTTATTGAAGACTTGAAAGCGGTGAATGAGTAAGCAATCAGTTATCATTTCAGATTTCGAGATGTACGGTTGGACATTTCTTCATCGGGACCGCTTACCAACTGACTATTTCCTCCTTTGTCATTATTCAAAGACAAAAGTAGTTCCATGTCTGGTAAGGCGGTAAGTTCTGTCTTATTTCTTGTATTTAAAAAGTCCATCTATCAAAAGAATTCATTCATGATAAGTCAATGTCATCATAAGATGTAAGAAAGGGATAATAAAGACTTACTCCTAATAATGAATCTTCCACACTTGGATCCATTTTCCAATTTACATTATATGATTTGGCGATCTCCTCAAGATAACTATTCACCAAATAAGGATCTGCTGTACTGAACATGAGCTTTTGTATAAGCTAACGAAAATCGAACAGATAAACCTAAGTCAAAACATTAATCTCTATGATAGTAAACAAATAAAACATTGATGCATACCTTTTCATTCACACAATTATTCTTATTTTCGATCGCATTTAATGCGAATTCTTTTCCAAATTTTGCAATTAATTGATCACGAACCTAAAAAAAAATCCAACCTAAATTAAAATTAATCATTAAATACTTGCAACAAAAAAGAAGTTTAGGTTATTACCCACCAAACTTAATTCCTTAATTTCTGATCTGGGTGCCGCATAGATTAAAGTATTTACTGCCTCACTTATAGAAGGATCGCAATGTCTAGTAGCACAAAAAAGCATTAGTCATGCATCGACAGATATATACATCATAAAACATACTTCATTTGTTCTAAAAGTCCAAATCTTGCCAAAAGAAGTTCGCAATAAAGTTCCAGCATC